CTAGACCCCCCACGGTTGCTCCTGGGAGACGCGCTGACACGTCTGAGGACCATCCACCAGGCCGCGGGGGACCGGTGGGGAAAGGACAGTTACAGGTGGAATCACCCCCTACCCCCCCGCCCGGCTCCCATGGGAGCCCAGAGCCCCTGCCGCGATCGGATGTCAAGATTCAGGGCAAGTTGCATCCCTGTCCCCACGTCTAGAACGTCGTGCATCACTGGTACTCCTGTGCTTTTTGCTTTGGATTCAGGTTCCAAAGTGCTAACCAATGCCGGCTGCTGGGCTCTTCCTCGTGGTCCATAAGCTTGTACAGTTAATTTATATAGGTGGAGCCATATTTAATAATCCACATCTCCGGGCAGAGATCCGATCTGTCTCGCCTCCTAGAAGCATTACATGTGATTTCAGCAGAGTTAGGGGAGCCCCGGCGCTCCTTTCTTTGGGCCTCGGTTCACTTGGAAGAAGTAAGGCTGCAGGGAACTTCGCGCAGCCAGTGGGGACGTCTGCTGTGGACAGAGTGCGTCACGTTTCCGAAGGAGCGGAGCCGCGCGGCCGAGCTGATTGGGCAGAAACACAGCTGTCTCACGGGAGGGGCAGGGGCCCAAAGGGACCTTCTGAGTCAGAAAAGCCACAGCCAGAGAAACGAGATGCTTCCTTCAACTGAAACATCCCAATAGACCATTTTCATTTAAAAGTAGCAATTCTCACGTCCGCTTTCCCTGCTTCACGCAAAAACCTTCTAAGGGAATGAAAGTCAAGCCTCTTGCTTCATGGAAAGGGGCCTTGCCCCGCCCCAGGCCAAGGTCAGGGGATGGAGAGAGAGAGGGTGTGCTGGGGACAGGGACCTGGTCACAGGGTCAGTCCTCTTTCCATAAGTTGGTGCCACAGGTTGGGAAACGAGAAGGAAAAATGACAACAATCGTTGGCCACTTGTTACTCCCCACCCAGGAGTCCTGATCTCACAGGCTCAGACGGGGTGGGGTGCGGTGGGGGCTCCGGGCTCCATGGTTACTGGGTGTGGGGAACCCTCTGGACCCTGGGCCTCCCCCCAAACCTCACAGGGACCATGGAAGCTCCAGATGAAAAATAAGATGGAGAAACTATGTTTTTCTAAAACCTCACCTTGCAGGTTTTGAGGACCTTAATTCTTTTTCTCCCCTAATTGGAGCCCTAACCCAAACAGCCAGTTACGTGGGAGCCTTCCCTGTATCAGTTCAGTGTCCCATTCAACGCTGTGGCCCGGGCAGGTGACAAACCTTCCTGGGAGGAATGGCAGAGTGGAAGGGAGCTCTAGAGCCGCTGTGGCCAACCCTGGGCCGGGAGAGGATTTAAAGAAAGGCTCATGGGCTTGCCTAGCTGTTCCAGCACCATCTGTGTTTCTGCGGCAGTGGGGACACAGGAGGCAAGCTGCTGGGACCCTCTGTCCTCGAGCCCACAGGGCAGGAGCCAGCATGGCACACAGCTGTTTTCTTTTTCTTAAAAAAAAAAAAAAAAATTTA